CACACACACACACACACACACACACACACACACACACACACACACGCACAATGATGGCCTAAAGACTTCTAATACAATGGAATTATCACAAAAGCAGATCCCTACTGATGCAAAGAGAACTGAAAATCCTTTTCATCCCAATCGAGTGAACCAGAGGCTAATATTAAAAAACTTATCACAGAAAGACATAAAAGGTAACACAGAAACCCCCAGCAATGTTAAAATAGTAAAACTTTAATTATTAACAATATTTTCACGTTACTAAAGATTTTACCACTTTTTGAGATTGATCTTATTTTTGCTTTCATTTGTTATGAACCTTATATTGTGACTTAATTGTGTTTGCATGCTCAATAAGGAACTTAATTTTGAAACAGTGGGGTCGAACTTTCTAACCAGTTTCTTTATGGACATGGAGTCTTTATTGTTATGTGTTTTGCAAATCAAATTGATTTAGAAACAATGCATTCACAAACAAAGGAGCAAAATCTTGGAAGCAGTTAAACAGCATGAGGTGATAAGATGGCAAAACACTTCAGCAAGCACCCAGTAAACTTTCAGAAAGGCCCAGAGGATTGCATCTTGTCATTGCTGAAACTGGTGGCTAATTTATGAAAACACTTGCACACAACACAGTGTAGACATAATGCAACTGAGCCAGTCGCACATAGTATATTCATACACAGACCTTACAATAACGAGCATCCACACAGCAACAACAACAATACAATTACAGAAGAACCAAACATCTGAATTTCAATACAAAACAATGACGCTTCTGACCCTCTGCTAGTCCATTGCTTACTACAGCAACCTCCCATTGTCTAAATATGGCATTTAATACAGCTTAATGATACACAACAGTAACTGTTCACATCATTAGTACGCAAACTGCCATACTAGAAGTTCTGCTTCTGAGTCACTGAGTCACTCCAAATTTACACATAAATAAACCGAGGTCTCTCAGTGATATGAAGCACTTGTAGAAAAATTACAAAGCTAAAATGTTGCACACTTGTGGCAAACTGACAGTTCATATACACGAGATAACAACTTAATTAATTGAAACTTTGTGTCCAAGGTACTGTTTAAGGCTAAAACAACTATTATTCAACTGGATTTTACTGAGTTACTGAGGGATGTTCATTGTGTAAGACTGGCCCTCGGTGATTATGTGTCACAATGTTTGGGTTTTTGGCAGCACATCAAATTTCATTTAATTGTGGCATTTCTCTCCAAAGGCAAAGAAGATAATGCATTTATATAGGCTGTATGCATTTTCCTTGAAAAGAATAGAGCGCTCTCCAGTAACACAACGTATCAACTGGCATATTTGTTTATCACTGTGTGTCAAAAACAGCTGTTTTTTTTTCATTATAGTAAACAATACATTATAATTAATTTGTAATTATCATAAACAATAAAACAATCTGGTCCCAACTAATCAAAATGTTACACCAGACGTTCACAACATCTAGCAAAATTTTGCAAGCGATAACAGGTTGTACTCAGTCATCATTTCTCCGGCTTTAGCCAGGACGTTAAACAAAATAAACTTTGCACAAGTTTAAACTGATTTTTGTTCGTTAAGCAATAAATACAATACAAAACATCTGCGTGTTTAATACCTGCAATGATTAATTCAACAAGCAAACTAATTTGCAATAAAAAAAACTGAGGTGAGATGTAATTAAATATCCTTAAAATAAAATTTTAAAGAGTAGTGTTTATAAATCCACAGTAATATTAAAAGCACTCAAATTCAGAGTAGACAATGAGACAAACTGAAAATGCCACAGCTTGTGGTATCCCCTTTATTCAAGAGCAAGCTGCCCGCTCTAGCATATCCAAGTGAATATTAATAAGTCATTGCAGTTTAATTTAAATATATATTAATATATTGGACAATTTTATTGAATAGATCATACCTCATTTGATTTTTTTTTATAATAAATGCTTTAATAAGTAGCTCGATTCTTATAGTCATGAATTAGTTTGTGATTTTGCACTTTGGTGAAAATTATTTTAAAAATACATTTTATGATGTCATTCTTGGTGTTAGGACATTTCACAGCCATTTTCACTGTTTGCTTAGAAATCAAATGATTCACTCAAAAAATATTAAATTTTGATGAAAAAAATTTAAGTGTCAGACATGTTTGAAATGAAAAGCGAAAATAAACCATCATTATTATTTGAGAAGTTGTAAATGAGCATATTTTACCCACATTAGTCATGTGGCTCTCCATTGCTTATTTAAAGTAAAGGATTTTGAAAGCTATTGCTTGACTTTCCATTACAAATGTTCTCTATTTGGACAAGAGTACTGAGCCACGTATACGTTACACCGGTGATTCCCAATCACTGTGTGCTGCGAGAAATGATCAGGTGTGCCGTGGAAGATTATCTGGTTCACCTGATTAGTTCTCTAAGCAATTGGCGTTAGTAACGGGCAGAACAATTACTTTCTCTTCCACTGGAGGGCAGTACAACTACCTGCTCTAATTAAATGGGTTACCAACTGCCAGTAAAATAGAAGAAGATGAAGAAGAAATTAAATACTCATGCTCTGAGACGATGCAGTGGCAACACGCAATAGATTAGTATTTGAAAAGAAAAAGTAGTCAATCTGACCTGGGTCCTGGAGAAAATTCCGACCCAGATGAAGGCCCTAGCATGAGTAGTGGTCAGAAGAAAGGAAAAGGGGTATACTGGGGACAAGCTGAACCAGTTCCACTAAACCAGATATGCAGGGAAAAATTATGCTTTTTGTTTGGTGGTGTGCCGTGTGATTTTTCTAACGTGAAAGATGTGCCGTGACTCTAAAAGGTTGGTTACACCCACACACTGTACGTGGTCTGCCAATGAGTTGCTGTGGTTCCTAAACACTTCCACTTTGCAGTAACGCTGCTTACAGTTGATTGTAGACTAGCTAAAAAGGGAAGACAAAGTGACTTGTAATCATGACTCCCTATTATGGTACTCAAATTCACTGATCTCCTTAGAACCACCACTCTATTTTTTGTTGTATTTACTTATTTATGTATTTATTTTTACAAATGTTTACAAAGGCAGACTGCAGAACTTGTTGAATGTTTTTATCTGTGGCAAATAGGACTGAAAAACACCTGAATTTTAAAGATTAAGAAATACAGATACAGCCATTCAAAATAGCCAGAGGTCAGCTGGCAGCTAGGAGTCACCCCTCCTTCCCTTGGGAGGGATCTACATTTCACTATATGTCATTTCTCTTTCTTAAACGTTGACTTGAATCGTTCGCTATAGATGATTTTCTCAGTATTATTGTATGGTTTTTACCTTCTATAAGAAAGTGCATTGAAGCCACTGTTTTGATTTGGTGAT